AACAGCTGCGTAATTTCCAAGGTTGAGTCATTTGCGTGCAGGTTTTCGGAGACTGTCGCTCTACTACTGGAACATACTAGCTATTCAATTCTTCGAATAACGGAGCTATGGTTCAGGATTTATTTTTCATGATTTGGCCCTACAACTCAGTCAAAGGACCATATGTCATCTTGTGATCGTCAAAGGCCCTGGTATACCAGGCGCGCGCTGTAGCGGATTCTGAAGGAATGCGGACTGAGACCAGGGTCTGATATACGTGATGGGGTGCCTGGCATACCTGGCCCGCCGCTTTCGCGGGTTCTGAGGAACACGGGTCGAGACCTGGTCCGATATATATGACCGGAATGGGCACCCACCTCGCCAGTGGGGTGGCGGGGTGGGGGGGATGGCGAAATAAATTATAGGGTACGTTTCATGAGCGAAGTACTACTTTTTCGCCCCCTCCCCCTCATCTGAAGCTGTGCGTACCCTTCGATCGCTTCTACTACGAAGAGATGCCATTAGCATGTGTAAAAGTAAGTAATCATGGCGATTGATGGATCACATTACAAATAACTCGTTAAAAAATAGTCATTATTAGTGCTCATTATTTTGTGCGATTGCCCGCTCCGCATGTAAGCGAGGAATAGTGCAGTTTGATAGAAAAACCCCGTTCGAGTGGGTTCTTGAGTGATCGAAATCGCTTTGACGATGACAAGATGGTAAATGAGAAGGAGGAACTGGATCATTACACACACACAAAATGTTCTAGAGTACAAATCAGAGGAATTCCATGAAAAAAGACGTCATTTTGAGGACAAACGCATGTGGGGTTGGATAAACATCACCATAAAGTTACTTACCTTAGAATAATCATTATTGTCGAATAACAGTATGTTTTCTGCCTTAAGATTACGATGTACAAGATTTTCACTGTGCATGAATTCCATGGCAGATAGTACAGCACCAAAGACCTTTTTCGTGTTGGCCTCACCAATCCCTAAAATAACAGTTTGGTCCAATTCTGCCTGCACAAAATATTCAGGGACTCTTCAGTAGCTATTTAGTGGCCAGAAATCAATAAATCGATCGGCTTCTGACATAGTATATACCACGACCGACCTTCTTGCAACTTTGGTTCGAACTCCAGTGTAAACAGTGGCGCTATTCGGGCTTCGTGGGGGCACCAAATGGCACTTAGCGCTAGTTAGGCCACATTGTAAAGGCCTGTAAATTCCTCCAACCAATGCAGCTCACTTATACTAGTAGCTTTGCGGGATGCGGGAGTTTACAAATCACCCCAAAGGTAATCTGCTGTTCAGCATGGATTAGCAAAAGAAACTAGCGAGAGTGCAGAAAGCCCCTCCCAAGACGAACAGCGCCCAAATAGTCTTTACTGAGCCTCCCTAGATTGGGACAAAGTAGCTCGGCTCGATTCACAGTGCTCTTTAATCACGTACAGTATTCTTCGCTGCGAATGCTGAGGCGTGTCAGGAGGCCGAGTTTGGAATGGCACCACCAGCCCATTCTCCACGAAATGCACTCGCTTGCCCGCTTCCACGACTGGTGGGGAGTATGCTACCGCCGCGCCAAAACCACCCCCTAACACGCCCAAGCATCCACAGCGAACAAAAGTTTAAGCCCTACCATTTGGTATTAAACCTCTCTCTACGGGGCCGCAAATCAAAATAACCCTTGTGGTCCACTTCGATTGACCGATACCTACATGGTGGTTTACTAGTCTACGGGAGTTGCCTTGGATACTGTACAGGCTCTTGAGCGGTTCAGCCTCAAATGTCCTCGACCTTTAGGGCTCTGAAGGGGTCCAAGAAACCGAAATAAATCCGAATCAATCTGTATCAGTTTTGAAAGGCTCAGTAGGACTATTCGTACTAATGGATCGATTCCCGTCCTTGTGATGACTCAAGTGTCATACAGCTTCGAAGAAAACTCACGTATCACCAAGTGTTGAACTTTCAAGCGACATATGTTACTGAGTTATGGAACAAACCTTTCACACATGTAAAAAGTGCTTTGTGGTAAATACATGCAGGAGAAATACCTTGCTGATTTGTGGCTTCAACCGCTTCTCGTAACGAAGCACTAGGGCAAAATTGTTGAACGAAGAAGAAAGCTGACTCGTCTCCTGTCTGAAATTTATGGATCGCTACTTAAGAGTATTTGAATAATTTACTTATAGTGAACGCTTCTCTTCACACATTACTTTACTGACAGATAAAACAGAATGGTACAGCCATTCCCTGATAAAGGGGTTTAAACCTATCCGACTAAAAAGTTACCAAGGAGCGATCAATAAGCGTGCCTTCCCTTGGGGAGAGATCTTGGTCACACTGGATTACTAATTACCATACATTACTGTTTCAATAGATATGGTACACTGGTACAGTCATTCTCAGATCCTAATAAGGCAGTTTTCAGACTTTGTGACCGCAGCGCTTCGGTCGCGCGCACGCAAAGCAATCAGTCGTATGAGCGATCAGGGCACATTATCGTATTCCTGAAAGGGGTCGTATTTGGTCGCTGGGGGAGGGGTCGCACTTCGATCTGAGAAATTTTTCTGATTTTTATTGTTTTACAAACGCTATAAAGGGGTCGTATTTACTTGTTGATGGGAGATCTTATTCGCTTTTGCGGTGTTCGGGAAGTTTTTCCCCGGTTGTTAAGTTTTCGCGGTTCTTCCTTTTTATGTGTGCTATATACCCCTCCAGTGGAAGGGGTCGTACAGACGCGAGTAAAGTACCCATCCAATGATGTGCCCTGCGAGCGATCGCGTCGCACGCGCGACCGAAGTGATGCTGTCGGAACTCTGAACGCTGCCTAATCGCGCTAAATCGAGAGAGCATACAAAAAAAGTTCACGGGTGCAATCAATTGGGTTTAGGGTATTGAAACCCTTATTACTCAAAATAGATCACTCAGAAAAACAAAAACAAGCAAAAATATGCGCTTCAAGGTGAAGGTGCGCCCTACACTCGGGTGCGGCTTATACGCCAGAAAATAATACAGTTGCTTTCTCAGATCGCACCAGAACGTGCAGCAGATGGAAATGCAATTGAAATGGGGAACATGCTCTCCTTCCCCTATTAATATTTACTCGTTGAACATCGTTTGTTAAAAGAACAAAGTATTACTCAGTCTAGTGCAATTGATAAGTAATCGAGTAGTTGTCCCTTCCCACCAAAATTAAGATTTTGGTAGGGGAAATGGAGTTGAAAAAAGAATATTTTGCATTGATATCACTCATACTGGGTGGTACAGCTCATACTAAAATTCCAAACGCTGTCAGTAGAGGATCTGCATTATGGCAACGCGGCAGAACCGGCATTCCAAGCAGTTTGACGCGCGCGGCATTCGCACCAATACCTTAAAGACTCAAGGCGGATAATTCCCGAGCGTCGCATATGAATCTCCTAACGGATATCCTAGAGCATACTTCACGCCATAATCCTGAACAAAACCCTCACCTGATGCATTCCCTCGTAGGTATCGATTATTTGAGGATGTGGCGATAAAAAGAATGAATAGTTATATTCCCGAATAAAATCGACCTGAAAAAGAAGGAATGTTCTTTGTTTACAAACGCATCACGCGGCTAATTTACTGAAGCCGGCCGTTGAGTGGTTTACTTTTTCTCCTTGACAAAGAAAATCGCTCAATTACTTGTTCAAGTGCGCTCATTTACCTGTTTCGTTTGAGGACGAGGGAAGAATTTGATAGCGATTTTTTGTTTGGATTGTTTATGTTCGGCAAGTTTGATGTACCCGAATCGTCCCGTACCGAGCTAAATCACTCAATTCAGTTAACCTTAACTTGTAGACAGAACCAGTATAGATTTTACTAGTAACCTGTTTATACACAGTGTATACATCCTCGATATTGACTTTTTTAATCGGGTCCATCGTTACTGATCCGCGTTTTACAAACACACTACTACGTCGTGGGTTCACAATCTCGGCGGCGTCAGATCCTCGCGATGAGACATTCTACAAGTAATGCATTTATATCATTGAACTTGTAAGTAAGTGGCAACCCTCATTCCATTATTCGATTATCTCTAGGATGACGTTGCGGGAACGAAAGAAAGCGGAACAACGCCTATTCAACCCGCTATGGAACCCAGATAAAACCCCGTTGAATGGGTCGGAAGGGGGCGTCCAGACAATTGCCTCGAAAAAATTATCGGCTAAAAGATTGCGTGATGTCACTAGCATCTGAAGATGGGGGCAACGAATATTGCGTGATGTCATTACTATCTTGAAATCGGGTAACAAGTACTCCGGAATAGTAGTTTTACTAGTGGAATGGGATGACTAGTAGTAGAATAGCGGAAGTAATGAACTTCCTAATGGATGTTACACACGCAGACTCTGACACAGTAGATGTGAACGATTTGCACGAAAAACTGCCACAAGAAGAGAAATTAGAGAAAAAGATGGATTGTATGAGAAATGAAAATAGATGAAAGTAGGCACGAAATTGGTTGAAAGTAAGGTTTGAGGTTCAAGAATCGATGAAATCGAGTTAGCTGAAATGTTCGACGCACGCGACGGAGGGACATGCGACGATCCGAAGAACAGAACCGTATTCCCTTGTGTTTTATCCGCTATCTGTTCGAGATGTATGCAAACAGGACCCACACATGTTCGCGTCACTGATACCGACCGCATTACTGTCAATTTACATCAAAGAAATTTCGTAATCGAATGAAAATGAAGAGCTTAAGCTGCTAAATGTATCGCTATTTCCTCTAAGAAGCCGGAGAGTCCGTGGGGCTTAAAATGACGTCATTTTAGTCAACCGGAAGAGCTAAATGCCAAAGATAAAATCAATCGCTATATCTTTCTTCAGACCGATTCCCCTCAACACCGGGTAGTTTTCGGCCCTGCTTGATCGAACTGAACTCATGTCCACGAAACTGTCAACCGAATGTGAATGGTAATGTAGGTGTCAAACCATGCTGGCTAACCACGCCTTGCCGGGATAAGTCCTTACAGCGTCACCAGGCCTTCTGCTCCACAATCGATCAACCAAGTTTGTCCAGGAGGATGGGCAGAGTTGTTCAGTAATGATCTCCGCAAACGATAGGCAGCGTTCAGACTGCCACGGGAGCGCTTCTGTCGCGAAGTCTGAACGCCGTGTGCATGATGGAAGCGTGGCCGGCAACGCAGCCAAGACAGATTATCCACCAATTGTAGCTGACTTAGGGTAGCATCACTGGCGGGAAAAGGTCGCTCTAACTGTGCTTCGATTCGCCCTATCGTTTGCAGGAATCATGGCTTACCACCACAAGACAAAGTATATTCAAATAACACACCACTTTTGGGTGGGAGTAGAATGCGTGGCGCAACTTAAGGCAAATCGATCAGAGATCAAGAATCTCCTAAGGCTCATCAAGGGGACCTTGCCGCAAGGGGGTTCATTTCACCCATTGGAGATCGTGGGCGTTAGTATCTCCCATGAGTCATCTCCATGATCACAATGTGATGGAAAATGAATATTTCTCAATGACGGTCATTTCCAACCAATCGATATCGATCAGTATTTCAAGTGGATATTATGAATAGCATTCGGTGCATCCGGTCATTCATTGTAGCCTGACAATCTTCTTCCATCACCTGACAAGATTGAACGTTTACAAATCTTGAGGCGATCTCCGAGTTTTTCCAAAGAACTACCAAAGAATATCGATTTTGAACACTCATAAATCTTGAGGCAATCTTCAGGGTTTTCAGAGAACTACCAAAGATTTTCGATTTCAACAAGAGCTTTTGCAGACATCGGTTACCACCACGTATATGTACCGGTTATGTGGATCGCTGGATTGCAAGAGGCTCAGAAATCACGAAAAACCTGGTAAATTTGGAAAGTACAAGAGCCGCTGGCTCGTGAAAAACTTTCAAGTAAACGAAATAGTATTTGAAATAGTGAGCCAAAAAATTTCCAAACTGTGACGGGCTCCAAGACATTACTGAGAAAGGAAAACTCGAAGAAACTCTCAATTTCTCCATTTGCCTGATTGAGGGGGAACACGGTCTTTGTGGCTTAATGACCAGCAGCATAGTCTGGTAAAGGTGAGGTCCTGACACTCGATCGGACCGCGTTTATCACAGAATCCACTCAGCGTTATCGGGTCAAGTCAGCCTATATAGAAAAATCTTCTCAGAAGACGTCTTCAAAATCGTAATTCAGAATCTCTTACTCTACTATGTAATACGAAAGTCAACAGTAACTAAATGAAGTTACTGTCAACAGAGTGTTCTTTATAGTGAACTTACACAGAAAATTGATAATTGCACCACTATTCGAGTCATTGAGTCGTGCTCGTAAGTCTGCCTGGAATCCTGCGACTTTTTGAAAGCGTAATTTACCCAGGGCAGGTCCTCCCGTTGGGGAAACTTTTGCAAAATATGACACTTCCCCCCACCCCTCCTCCCATGAAAATTTCCCCTTACGACGATTATCCTTCTCCATCCCATCACCATCTTACCTACAATTCCCCTGGACCCTTACAACTACACCTTATTCCAGCCGCTTATCCGAAGCTATTTTTGAAAAAATTTCCCAGTTCCAAGTCAGCTCGATCACCAAACAATTTTCACAAATTAAAATAGACCCCTCCCATCGACCAAATACTCCCCCGCTGGAGATCTCGAAAGTGAGTCGTCGAAAGAGAAGTGCTCTGATTTTATCCATCAGTTTTTCTTTTCCAGTCGTCGATCCAACCTTTTCGTCTGTATGCTACTCTACTGAAGAAGATTTGTATAGAGAAGTTATATAGGGAAGTATATGGAAGTCGCATCTGAAGGGATGGGTCCCCTCAATACTCTAAGAAAGTCTTGATTCTATGACCCTATAACCCTCGATTCGCGATCGTTTAAGAGCTAAGTTGTGCCCTGGAGCGCTGAACGGTCTCTGCTCGTATACCATAAAACCCATAAAACATTTAAGATGAAAAAAACCGTTAAAGCGTAGCTATTTCTGACACCCCAATGGGTTTCCCAGTTTTTCCTAACCTCGAAGGAAGCCTCCTAAAAGCTCTTTTTCATAAACTTAAAGTTCCTCCCCCATTTCGAATGAGCTTTGAACAAGTGCAGGTCCACATCACTGGCATTACAGTATGCAATAAAAAAACCCTGTTCATCCTGAACATCTCCCCTCAACGCCACATTTATTCCAGAAGATTAATGTTTCCATTTTTACTTAAAAGGCGTCCTCAACGATAACGACGTCATTGGAATTGGTGATTCCGGGGTTCAAAAAGAAGCTCAGTGCGTGCAGTGTCAAAAGGTTTGAGAAAGAAAAAGCTCGAAGGATAATGAACAAGCCTGCGGTAGACCTACTTCTATATGTTCCTGAAGTGGGATGAAAAATAGAAAAGTTGGAAAGAAGAAAAAAAATGAAGAGAACAACGACGATCAAGTGGAAAACTGAGAGAGGAACCAGTAGCAGAAGGGTATGGTATCGAAAGTAAAGCACTTACGATCGTACGGTAATTTTTCACAGTACGAACTCCCTATCCCCCTCATAACAATCAAAAGTACGACCCCACTCATTGGAAAATATTCATTAACATTTATGCTGGAATATTGTGAACGATCTGGAGCTACCACAATATAAAAAAATAACCATTACATATTAGACCGGCCATGAATGAAGACAGTGCTCTTAGATGCGTCGAAATAGTTGAGTCCTACTAGAAATACTGGTATTATTGTGTAAGCACTACCTATTGATCAGTACCTTCGGGAATGAGTTTCGGTATTCAAGTGTTCTTTCAGCGAAACTTGCGCGAATAATAAAAGGTAGCCAGGTAAGTACCTACAACTAGCGACCTCAGTTCTGAATTAGTTGAGTCCTACCAGAAGTAGTGCAACTAGGGGGTAAGTACTACCTATCGATCAAAACCGTCAAGGGAATGTGTTGAGTATGCATGTGCTTTTCAGTAACCGCCAGGATAATAAACGGTAGCCAAATGATTCAGTACTGCAACTAGCCGTTTCAATACTACTTGAACTAGTTGACTCCTACCGCACTGTAACTATTGTGTAAGTGCTACCTGTTGATCAGTATCATCGGGGGGAATGAGTTCAGTACGCAAGTTATTCCGGAGCTTTGTTCACGTTGTCCCGGAGTCTTATTACGGCCCCAACTTTAGCGTAGCAGCAAGGCATCAAAAATCTGCTCAAAAATTCAAAAGTGCAAGGAAAGTGCTTGCCTCAAGTCTTGAAAAATTTCAGCTACACGTGCTGAACACCCCTATCCCCTGAAGTACTTCTGGCAGCCCTTCTAAATAGACCTTGTCGATCTGTCCTTCCAAGAACTGCAGAGTCCTGATGAAAGACTCGAAGGCCCTTCAGGCTACTTTTAAGGTTACCAGTGAACTCTTAAAGATTCGTTTTACTTTCGTGAAAACTTTACAAGTTTCAGACATTAGTTTGACATTTGATCAATTGAAAGTAAAGGGGACCAAGGTATCAGAGCACTCTGTTACTCATAATGTGTAAACAAGAACATGTAGAATTCAAATAACTTAAAAAATACTTACTTTCTCTTTTTGTTCCTTGTAAAAACTTCGCAGTCTATCGGGATCCACTGCATAGCTACAGGACTCTTCATGAAAGCTAGCAGTACGTTTGTCGCCCAATGAATGCGAATGTTTGGCGGTGCTTGGCGCCACCAATCCTCTTGATGGCGATTTCATCAGTTGTCCTTCATTACTGTACTTCAATATAGATGGGACATCAGGTGACGATGATTCTCGTGGTACAGGCGGTGTCATAAGATTACGTTGTGGTGACGAAGATAGACGTGCCGTATTGTCGACACTACAACGGGGACGGTGTAAGTTGACGCCTTCCGATTTCCGATGTTTGGATCCCTTAGAACGGGAGAACATCTCGAACACTTCATTCTTCGTAAATGGCAGATCATCGTCATCGTCTTCTTCAGCATGTGGTTCAACTGCTGGTAGAGTGGGTCGACGTACGGAAAGTCTTGTCCACACACGACCAAGTCGCTCCATTCATTCGCCGCCTGGTGCCGCCGCTGCCACCGCCACCGCCAACACAGCAGCCGCTGCCTCGACAAGAAAAACAGAGGCCGCCTCGGCGTAGCAAACAGGCGTCATGGACTCCATCCCCCAGGCTATCGTCCTCTGCAATCTCCCCACCATGTTGGTTAGTCCACAACCTGGCCCTTCACACCTATATGATCTATTCCTCAAATTCGTTCGATTATTTCTGGGCACGAATTGCACGAAATGTCCCTGCATGTCACGTACACACCCTTTTCTTAGGCGACGTTCGTTTCTGTGACGGCACGTGCACTGCGGGTCAAAAACAGGGCAAAGGAACGTTCTTCTCAACACGATCGTATTTCAACATTAGACACATTTTACGTTGATCGGTTAGCACAGTTGGGAACAGATAATCAGCGGGAAAAGTGCTGGAGAACGTCATGTACTAACTTGTAAGTAAACAAGTTGATTCAGCATTTGACGCACACGATGTCCGGAAGGCAAAACGGAGAAAGTTACCCCATGGGGACAATTCTAGCCAAATCCCAAATTCTGCTCATCGCCTTAGAACGTTTATGAGTAGTCTAATGTGCCAGAGCATAGTTCATCTTCGAACATTGTCCGCAACATTTCATCAAAATTTCTCTCGTGCTAAATATAACCCAGAGCACTCGGCGATTGTCGACGAAAAAGTGTTCGGCCCCGCTAAAAAAAGCCGATCGCCCTTGGCTGATGACGTTAATCAGTGTACAAGGGGAAGAATAAACACGTGTTGATCATGAGAAAATGCTTTAAACTGCGCTACTAAATCGTGCAGGTGGGAAAGTGAGAAACTGTAGGTCCCTTAGCGAGTGAGAAAAGAACTCCCTCCAGTAAACTTGAGGCAGGCTCAGTAGCCCTGAGGTCAAGATGATCACTTTAACATGGTTAGGACGACAATGACAAGGATAAAAGGGCTATGTGCACGCCCTTCTTACAGTTTAGCACAAGTAAGACTCTCGCTACTGATCAGTGTACCTTTTATTTTTTAGTCCGAGTTCAGCTCCTTAGTAAACCCCTTTTGCATCTTAACGGCTTCCCTAACACGTTACGGACCGCGTGACATACCAGTTGCGTCATGAGTTTGTCTCTATGAGGTGCTTTGTTTGATTGATTTGGCCCTTCTTTCATGTTCCAACGGTGTCAAAATACATTCTCAGTGGCGAAAGATACTTACCCCATAAATGATGAAAGGAAGAAATTACTGATGAATTACTGATGAAGAATGATAAAATGATCCGAAGATGTGAGCAGTACAACGGTCCGCAATGTGAGACCTTGTTAATGAGTATGCTGCTGGGTTTGTTTACCGGCTTCTACGATTGAATAAAAAATTAAATAAATGATAACGGCGACATCTATGGCGGTATCCATCTAGTTTGAGATGCGCCACGCATCCGGTTCCCCCTTGAAATCCCAGTGGCTTTCAAGCGCAGTTGGGCTTACACAAAGACTTGTTGGGGCCAACTGGAGGACAACTCGGTGTGCTTCACCTTTCAGGACTAAATAGCTTGGCGTAGTCCTGACCTCTGAGTGGTGGTAGACCTAATTGATCTTGAATGAGATTTGACCGCATGCGGCGGGGTAAACAGCGCCAGTTGCAGCTACGAAGTGGCATCAGAAATCGGGGCTTAGTGGTGGCCATAGTAGGAAACCTCACCAATGTGAAATTCTTGAGAGAATCATTCGATTCCGAAAGATTGGAAGACATCATTGACAGGGTCGGTATCCATGCAGAGAATTCTTACCGGGCCACGCGCACAAAAGCAGTGCCCTCTGGACCTACCGAATTGTTCCTCAAGACAGAAGTATCACTACGGAAAGTCTCCAATGTGTTCGCCTCCAGTTTGATCGTAGTTGACGAAGCTCTTTGGAGTAGGCCGCAAATCCGGTAACTTTTGGAATCGCACGACCATCGAAGTGCACGGTGCACTATTATATTGCACTCTGAAGCAAGTTTATTCTCTAATACTAGTATAACTTTCTCTGACGAACAGGCTGACCCTCGGTGTTGCGTGTTTCGTTCGTTTGTGAAGAGTTAACGTGGTTCTATAGGGTCGTCTGTGAGACTGATCCTACCAAGTGGCGTAGGGCGCGGGATTCACACCAAGGGCTTGCTGATTGAACGACACAAGTCATGAGATTGGCAATGCCTGAATGTCAATGCCATTCTCGTTGAGGGGCTCAACAGGACAGGAGTGGGCACAAAGGCCGGAGGCGGCCGGTTGGTGCCAGCGTCATTGGTGTAAGGGCTACGAAAGCTGAATGGGGTGTTTGCGTACACCCCATTCAGCACTTCCACCAATGACACTGGCAGCAACCGCCTGCCCTCAGTCATCAAGCTAAAAACCTTTAAACCAGCGAAATGACCCTGATCTTTGCATCGTTGGA